CATAATACGAATTTTGGCAGTTTTACATTTACCACAACCACATTTGTGAAAAGTTATTTGAATATGAAAAATGATTGATAAATTTAATAGACATAAAATGAGGCTTTTTTTTTTTTTTTACAAAGACATGTTTTCAAGAGATAGAAATGAACAAACTGATAGACACAAACAAATACAGGGTGCGATGGATAAATTGTCATTTAATTTATGCAAAAATGAAAATAACACAGACATCTCATTTTAACAGATATATTTATCAAAATTGCACAAAAATATCTTGAAATACTAGAGAGTAAATTTATTCAATAAAATTGCCATTGATTTTAACCATGTCCTCCAGACAATTTTGAAATCTCCTGCAAATCTTCTGGACAGTCTCCTTCTTTAAGTTGGTGAATACTGCCATAATCCTTGCCTTCAGTTCATCTTTGGTCTTACAAGAAGTTTTGTTGGTCTCTCACTCAACTGTGCCCCACACATAATAATCAAGGGGGTTGCAGTCTGGGGAGTTAGGTGGCCAGATGTAAGGGGTGATGTGGTTGTACAAATTATTTGATAGCCATGACTGAGTTCTCCTGCTTGTGTGGCATGGTGCAGAGTCCTGTTACCAGACATAAGGTCTTCCAGCAGCTACCCTCTTGATCCAGGACAGCACTACCTCCTCAAGGGACCTCAATGTAGACCTCCATGTTGAGTTTGAGACTCTTACCAACAAATTTGGGAGTTCTTTTCTTATCAGAATGATCAGTGAATTTTCCCAGCTGCCATAACTTCGTAATCACTATTAGACTCATCCAACTCTTTCCAAATCCTCTGCACTGTCCTCTGAAATGTTCATATTGGAACTTCCGGCATGAATGCCAAGCAGTACAGCATGCCATTGCCAAATTCCTGGTGGAGTGAATTGTGTCTTGGTGCCCTTTTTCTCACAGATGGTACCCAACTGACCCTACTATATTGTGCAGTTGACAAAAACAAACAACACGCCCATGGTACCCTGTAGATAGATAAATATGAACATACTGATAGATATGAACATCTGTCTATATTTCTGAGATAAGTTATTATGACTATTACATTTTAGATTTTTGCGGGGGTTTGTTTTGTGGGCCAGATGCTCCCATCCTCTCCAACCAGATGGTGAGCTTGGATGTGATGAGTTTGTTCACCAAGGTACCCATGGAGGAGGCACTCTCAGTAGTGAGACAGATTGGCCTCTGACTCATCCCTAGAAGAACGGACTAGTATTCCAATAGATAATCTGATGGAGATGTTGACTTTCTGTACATAAACAACACACTTCGGAATGGAATCATACATACATCGACAGGATGAGGCTTTAGCAATGGGCTTGCCATTATCACCAGCAATGGGGAATATATACATGGAATACTTTGAGGAAATGGCATTAGAATTTATATAAGTCAACTATATGGTTAAGGTACATAGATGACACCTTCATACTCTGGCCACACCAGGAAGATGTTCAGGTTCTACTGGACAATGTGAACTCAATAAGACCTTCGATACAGTTCACAATGGAGAAAGAGAGTAGTAACACACTCCTTTTCCTGGATGTTCTAATATCTTGAACAGAGCATGGGTTCAAGATATCCATATACCGTATACTGACATTCACCAGACAGTACCTCAATTTCAACTCCCACCATCCATACAGTATAAAGAAAGGGATCGTCCGCTGCTTACGACACCAAGCAAAAGTCATAAGTGGCGACCCAGAGACATTAGATAAAGAATTTGTCAGTATAAGTAGTACCCTACAACATAACCACTCCCCTGAGTACATGGCAGCAGTCCCAAAAACTGGGATAGGCAGGTAGAAGAGGAGGACAACACTCAGAAAACAGTCTGTCTGCCTTATGTGAAGGGGTTATCAGAAAAAATACAAAGGATTTGCGGTTCATATAACATCAGGACAACCTTCAAAAGCTTGATGACACTTTGCAGATATCTCTCCTGAGTAAGATCCCCCATAGAGGAGAAAATGACTAAAAACTGTGTGTACACTATCCCGTGCATCTGCGGAAAGAAATATAAAGGGGAGACAGGCCGCCCCCTTAAGGTAAGGCTTCAAGAACACCAGAAAGCTGTACATGAGGGAAAGTAGAAAAATCGGGCATGGCTGACCACATATGGAGAGAGAAGTAAGATCACCACCCTCTGTGGGATCAGGTTGAAATCATAGACAAAGAACACCATTGGAAAATTTGTAAACTTAAGGAATCAGCACATATGCTAGGCCACAAAAATCTTGTGAGCCAACCAAGCATAGAAATGAATACAATATGGGAACCAGTAATAAGGAGTGCCAGAGAAAAGCGATAATAACAACAAAAATTGCAATATGAGCTCTGTTAAAAACATGAAATGATAACAGCAAAATTGCAATATAGGCACTGGTAAAAAATGGTTGCTGAAGACATAAGGTTTATAATACCCAGAAATTCATACACAGATGTCCTCAAAGGACACATGGCACAGTGGATAAAGGCATTAGTTAGACAGGACCCAAAGAGTGTGAATTCAATACCCGGTGGAGAACTTTCAGAGGGAAATTAACAGGAGATAACTGATAACTGACATCCATTAAACATGGCACGTGGAACTAGAACAGTCTACCCCAGTGAGCGAAATGAACGGTTCAGTTTGACATACCAAGTACAAGCGTACAACAGCTGAAACGTTGTAATAAATATGGCGACAAAGATGAGGACAATAGTCCGAATAATGTAAATAAGATATGAACATACTTATAGATATAGTTAGATATCTATAGATATGAACAAACTGATAGATAGGTAGGTAGATAGATAGATATAAACAAACAGATAAATATGAGCGTAGTGATTGATAGATATAAACATGCTGAATGATAGATAGATACTAACAAATAGATAAGTAGATAGAAAAATTCCTTCCCTCTTCTGTTTGATTTTACTTCTTTTTTATTCTTTTTTTTTTGGAGGAGCGGGGCACATATTTTCATTTCTCAGTAATTTCTTTTAAATTCATCTTTCAATTCTGATTTCTATGTTATCCCTAATTTAGCTTTTACTTTCTCAATCTTTTTGAGTTTTACACACTTTCTTTCTTTTCTATTAATTTTCATTGAAGCTGCTTTTTTTTTTCTCAATCTGATTCACTGCAAAGAATCTTTCTTCAGTGTTGTATATTCAAAATATCAGTTTAATTATTATAAAAGTGATTTTATTTTCCATTGCTATTATCTACTGACTTTCACTCATCTCTTTCTTTTTCATTCTATAATCATCTACTGAACAACAACTACATCATCATCCCTGTGCTACTGCAATTAACTTGTACTATAATAACTGTTGTAAACATCTGTCTATATTTCTGAGATAAAGTATTGTAATTATTTATATTATTACCATATTCATGACATTTTGGCTGTTATATGCTCCGGCCATCTTCAGGTTATTGGCATTTCAAACTGAACCCTTTATTTCATCTGGATGTCTCAGTTATATCCTCAAGGATACATGGCCCAGTGGATAAAAAAGCGTTATTTGGATCTAGTTCAATACCTGTCTACTGCAGTGGTGAACAAAAACTTGGCACATAAAACTAGAACAATCTAGACTAGTGGAATGAAATAATGGGTTCAGTTCGAAATTCCAGTCACCTAAAGAAGTCTGGAGGATACAACAGGCAAAACAATATGATATTTCAATAAAGATGAGGACAATAATCTGAATAATGTAAATAATGACTATTGTAAACATTATGGTTACTACTGATTGTGATTATCATTACGACTAAATTAACTATATTAGTAATACCACTGCATCAATAACTGTATGAATGATTTAACTATTTTAAGTTTTTAATTATTAAAATTGTCATAGCTGTTGCACTACTATTGTGTGTATGTGGCATCCATCATTCTCAAGAGACCATGGATCTGTCCCCTAAGAGTTATACCTCAGCAGCACAGCATCTGTTATGGTTGTACAGGCCCAAACAAGAGTCACAGTCTTGATTGCAATGAATGCATGTGAAGACACGTTCTCCTGATGTCACCATGTTTTCTTTCCTTTGGGCATGATTCTCCCCACTGACATGCCTCTGTTTCTTTTCTCCTCACTCCAGCCCTCAGTCTAAATCGCATCTCCAGTGTGAGCAATCATTGGTATCATGTCCTCACCTCTTGATGTCCATGTCCATCATCCTAATGTCCCTTTTGCAGATGTCTTTGAAGTGAAGATGAGGTCACCTTTGTGCCCTCTTGCCAGTGACTAGCTCTTCATACAGAAGAACCTTTGGAATCCACCCATCAGTAGACTGTTGCTTCACGTGTTTTGCCATCATAGTGAGGTGACACTGAAGTCTCCTTTCCAGGACGCAGGTCTGGGCAGGGTTTTATGAGAGATTGGCAGTTGCCCATGCAGTGCACATCTTCCCTCTCTATGCCACCGATGTTGTCCAAAGGAAAGGTAGATTCCAATACAGCCTGGTACCGGCATCATTGCAGGAGTTACCAGAACAAAGTTGAACATAACATTATACTGTCATAGGGACTCCAGCTCCAGATTTCTCCTCAGGGTTTACTTCCAAAGCCTTTCCCATGATTAGACATGGCCACAAGGAAGCCCAATATTTAAAATCAGTTTTCCTTTTCTTACACTACTACTGCTGTTGTTATTGATATGCTTATTTTTGCTATAAAAACTAAACTTTTGTTGTGATGATGATAGTAGTAGTAATATTAAAAATGTAATACTAATAAAATAAATAAGTAGGATGTCCTACATATCTACTTTGAAAGTCATATCCAGTTATACTTTGAGATGCAAAAAAGTGCTCCATTTCCCTGAATCTGACCAAATGACCAAACATTAGAATTTTTTGAAAGAGTTTCTTATTCAATTCAAAAATATTTCAGCACCCACCTCATACATATTTTGAAATGATAATAGTTTTATATTTGCTTTGTTATTTCTTATTCATAAAAAATTATGCCTTCCTCTCCCATTCCCCCACTTTCTCCTCTTTTCTCTCCCATTCCCCCACTTTCTCCTCTTTTCTCCCCATTCCCCCACTTTCTCCTCTTTTCTCTCCCATTCCCCCACTTTCTCCTCTTTTCTCTCCCATTCCCCCACTTTCTCCTCTTTTCTTTCCCATTCACCCACATTTCTCTCCATTTCCCGATTTTTCTCCTCTTTTCTCTCCATCCTCTGACTTTTCACTCTCCATTCCCTGACTCTCTTACTTTTCCTTCCCCTCCCTCTTTCCTTTCTGCTTTTCTTTTTCCTCTCTCTCTCGTCTCTTTCCCTTCGTCTCTCTCTTTCCCTTCGTCTCTCTCTCTTTCCCTTCGTCTCTCTCTCTTTCCCTTCGTCTCTCTCTCTTTCCCTTCGTCTCTCTCTCTTTCCCTTCCTCTCTCTCTCTTTCCCTTCCTCTCTCTCTCTTTCCCTTCCTCTCTCTCCTGTTCTTTCTCTCTTTCTTTCCCTTCCTCTCTCTCCTGTTCTTTCTCTCTCTCTTTCCCTTCCTCTCTCTCCTGTTCTTTCTCTCTCTTTCTTTTTTCTCTCGTTCCCTTTTTCTTTCTACCTCCCTTTCTTCATTCTTCAGCACAAATTTCCATCATCGTCACGAACCCGCATATCTGGAATCTCAAAGCTTTGTTCTGGGAGCAGGTGCTCCCTCTTCCACTCCAACACTAGACTCCCTCCCCTCCCTTCCTGTTTTATATTCCTTCCGTTTCTAGCAGCAGCAAGCCGGTGCCTTGCTCAACATTCTTGTTTACATGTGCGTTAGTCACATGCACAATTCCGTTAGACTTGCCAAGTAAACAGAATCGACACAGGCGTAGACACGGCTTTACTTTGTTGAGAAGACGGGAAGAAATGTGAAGTCTTTTCAGAAGAAAGCAGACGATATTTGGACCTTTCTCTTTTCAACAAAATTTCTATGATTTTTTTTTCTTGTTAGACTGTGTCACTTAAAAAAAACCCAAAAATACAATATTTTTTAATTATTTATTTATTTTTTTAATCACCCGGTGAATAACTTTGAACCATTTTGGAGTGTGTTATTATTACCGATTATTAATGTGAAATCGTTCACTATGTGAACAGCCGAAAAGGAGGTCTACTTATATACACAACACAAGAATAACTAATAAAAAGAAAAAAATTCCAAGGTTCTTTTGTCATCATTGCTGTTACTACACAAACTGCGATTTTTGTCATGTCTTTCTCTCTCTTGTGTCTAACTAGTACTGAAATTCAAGTGATTAACATCGTAATTCCGTTTCAAAAGAAAAACAAACATAAAGGTGTGCCAAACTAAGTTATTTCCACTAACTATTGACATTATTAGGAACTCAAAATAAATAGAAAACAGACCTTAGCACCACTTATATAACAAAGATTGTGTGACAAACTTACTATCGCGTGTGTTCAGAGATTTTTCGTCCTGCGTGTTAGTCAAATTATTTCGGAATGATACACTACAGCAGTTTATTTTTCTGTGTTGTTAATGTTCATTGTTCATTCATTAAAAAATAAAAATATGGATAAACTAACAATATCACTTTTCTAACGGGATACTAAATGGTTAGCAAATGTGACTGGTATTTTATTTTACTGTCGGTAATTTACCTTAAAGAGACATTACCTAGTCTGGATGCTATTGTTCAGCAAGCAGGATGTATTTTTCAGGTAAGCATTTTTACGATTAATAATTTATTTTTGTTATCATTGTCTTCCTTTTTCTTTTTAATAACGTGTGTATATTTAGTTTCATCTATATCACCGTTAAAAACTGATACTCAAGTCAACTGTATTTGAAAGATAGCGATTTTTTTGTATATTCATTGATTCAGTGAAAAAAATCCTTGATATCAGTTTTTCAATTGTTATTGATAACAAATTATTCATTGTATTTGTATTTTGTTCAATTTTATTAGAGATATAACAAATTTCGGTAATATAATTAAATATAATCTTGAACAATAATTTTTTCTCTCCATTTTTTTTACTTAGAAATCAAGACAATATAAAATAAATGTGCAAGAGATTATTCATCTACAACACACTACTACCTCTTTATTTATTTAAGGGTCGGAGGTCAGAGGTTACAGATCCATTCAATTCAAAATATTTTTGCTTACAAAAAAATTAATGTCATATAAGTTTTTGAGATTATTATTTTCGTAAAAACTTAATGAGTGTGTATATTTTATTAATCCCGCCTTAAGTATTTTCTACTCGTAATTAAAAAGAGAAATATTTACAATAATACCAATTGATTACATTATGTTAGACAACTAATACTGAATTTTATTAGTAAAATAAATATAATGATTAATAATCGTAAGTTTTCATATTGTTGTTTGTTTTTCATTCTGCGTACTTTCACTTAGTGCGTGTAAGTACTACACAAAAAATACAATCTACTACTACTTTTTGTAACACTGTGTATATACACTACCTATGTCTGTAAAAAATAATTAAAAAAAAAAGAGTTTGGGGTGAGAGCTAAGTAAGAAGATAGGGTAATAATAATTAGGCGGAGGCATGTGTCAGATTTCTAATTATTTTTTACAGTGACCACTTCCCTCAGTCGATACCCTAAGCTCATAACTACGTCATGTAAAAAAATACGGGTATCATTTGCGTCGAGTTGGTCCCATAGGCACCCGGTCAGTAATACTTATTTTCATTTACCATTTTAAACTAAAACTAAAAGGCTACTGAACAAACGGCAGTGCAGGTCACACAGAAAAGGTCAAGAATTTAACCTGCAATAATAAGCAACAACGTTCCTCCTGATGCTTTTTTAAATAAACACACACGGCATTTTTTGTCATTTTTTTATCCTTATCTTTTTTACGTAAAAAATATTTCTATTTTATTTAATTTACTCTAATAAAAAAAACAATAACCTAGGAAATTATTTGCTCATCTTTCAAAACTTCAACAGAAGTATATCACTTACTTAACTAATTTACGTCACGATGACAATAATAATTTCTTGTACCGCAACCGTTACCAAAAAGGATCAGTGTTGATTGTGACTTGTTAAATGTTTTTTTTTTGTTTTTTAACTTTATTTTTATGACCAGCTTTTTTTCTTAAATTTACGGATGGTTCACTCTTTTCTTTTGTCTCACTTTATTTGTTTTTGTTTTTTATCTATGGTGCTAAGTAGTGTTAGCAAGTTTAAATCCGTCAGTAGGATTTAAAAAATGTTTTTTAAGTCAACACTTAAACTGTTAAAGTATAGTGTGGTTAATGTACACTAAATTAGAAGAAAATGACATTTTCTTTTAATTTACACTACAGTACTTTACAGTTTTTAACTTTTTACGCATTTTCAAGAGTAAAAAAAGATTAATTTTTATAAATAATGAATGTAGCTTTTTTTTTTCATACCTGTTCAAAAAAGAAAAAAAAACTATAGCACTCCTACATCATATATTTTTTATTTTTATTTTTTTTTACAGTAAGGTTCACTCTGTACAAGGCCTCGGGGCCACTCGAGGTAGAGGGTTACGATAGGGAGTAGTAGTAGTTTATATGGATATGAGGGGAAGATAACGGTTGAATAGACTTGAACAGGTTAAGTGATCGGGGAAACATCCCCTGGGGAATCTGTTCCATAGGGCAGTCGTTCGCTAGAAGAAACTGTGTGAGTGGAATTTCTCACGGAGGGGATGTGGGTGGTTTGCTACTATGTAACTGGCATGGCGGGTCCTAGCCGCGAAAGTCTGACCTAGTGGAACCAGGGGATGCTGCTCGTCCGAGCACTTTCCACGGTAGTAACGATAGAGCAGTGAGAGACTCGCCACATCCCACCTGTGAGAGAGGTTGGGATGTGGAAAATAATTAAGCCCCACAGACACAAGGACTCAGTGACGCTTTTAAACTCTGTCAAGACTGGAAAGTAAGGTCTGGGCAGCTCCTGCCCAAATATGGCAACAGTAATCCATTTTCGGCCTGATCCGGCTCCTAAAGGTAGAGGATATAGCATGAGGATCCAGGTACTTTAACTTACTGAAGCGGTACAGGGAGCCGATCATTTTATCTGCATCTTTGGCGTTGAATCATATATAGGAATTCCACTTGAGGTCGGGTGTGAGTTTGAGGCCCAATATCCTCTTGAGACACGGGGCTTCTTCAAGGGGATATCCGTTCATTGTGACTAGCGGTAGTTCGGGATCTGATCGGCGTTGTTGGAATGTAAAAACAGTTTGGTTTTAGAGGCATTGAATGTAACTAGCCAGTTTTTCCTCCCACTGGCAAGTTAGTGTTAGATTGGAAGAGAGGTCAGCTGCCAATCTCTGATCGTCATGACTTTTAGGTGCGCCCGTATATCATCGGCGTAGACGTTTACAAATGATCGTAGTATATTCTTAGATCATTTATGTAAATCAAAAGGAGGGTTGGTCCGAAAAGTGACCCCTGGCTGACGCCTGCATTGACCGCCAGGGCCTCGGAAGACTGGCCGTTAATAACTACCTTCTACCTGTTAGGAAGGATTTTATAATAGAGAAGAGCCTTCCAGTGATTCCATAGCTGGAGAGCTTGTGAAGCAAACCTTTGTGCCACACCTTGTCGAAGGCCTTTGAGATATCTAATGCTATGGTCTTTCTGGTATGCGTATCGTCAAGGGACTCACTAATTCTCTGTGTAATGGTAGTTATGACGTCAGCAGTGAATCGGGCTGATTGAAACCCATACTGCTCGTCGCACAAGAAGTTGTTCCTATCCAGGTGTTCGACGACCTTCTTGTTGATTAAGGCCTCAAAGAACTTACTGATGATATTAAATAGGTCTGGAAGTGGGGGGGGGTCGGTTTCCCGCGTTCTTGAAGAACGGGCATGGTCTTGCCACCTTCTACGTGCTTGGGAAAGATTTCTCCTTCAAACAGCGGTTAAATAACTTTGCTAGAATCGGGAATAATTCTGGGTTGACACTCTTAAAGACGACCACTGGTATTTTGTCTGGGCCAGTGGCTTTGAGGGGGGGGGATAGAGGCTTTTGTTAAGTCTACAGAGTCTCTTGCTGAAATGATTATATTACTGAGGTTGTGCTCAATGAGACGTGGGATCTTCATTAAATTATAGCATAGTACCCGTCAAAATTGACGGAATTATTTTCGGATAGATCAGCACTTCTAGCTAGGATCAGTGTGTATCTGTATTCCTGTGAAACACACATATGGATGAATAAATACTACATTTTTAATTTTTATGAATTATCAAAAATAAAAACAACCACTCTTAGTTTTTCAATAAAACTTTAATTTGTGCTTCTCCAAAGCGGTAATTCGTTCATGGAAATTATTATTTTTCTTTTAGTAATATTTTCTTATTTTTAAATTTCATATTTCAATTAAAATTTTTGTTTAACAACATTCCGTTTTTTGCCAGAGGAAAAAATTTGGAAAATACAGTACAGTTTTTTGGGGACTGAAGACGTTAGTTTTTACTTTTAAAACGATTTTATTAATTTAATCATTATCTGTCATTATTGAAAGGAAGCGTAGTTTAGCATGACATAACGACAAGGAAGATTATATTGCGCCAATCTTGCATTAAGTGAATAGTTCTTACTTCTAGAGAATCAGCATTCGAAATCCTACTTTTTTATTTGGGTTCGAACCAAGGTAGGGTTTTCCTTACCGAAAATCAAACTGAGGTGTTAGTTATTGTTTT